GAAATGCCAAGAAAAACCTCTTGTTGGGACGTTGCTGACTCTTTGTAATGAACGTTATGATCCCTTGAGAGACAATGTAACATCCATTTCTGGAAGGAGGAGTCTGGAGGCGGAGTGACTGGAAAAAAGGAGGTACCACTGAAGCAATTTTGCACCATACTCCTACACCTTACAACTTTCGGCCGTAAAACTGGCACAAGGTTGTTCACTGCGGACCACACTACCCTCCCTAACGGTCTTCTGCATTTTCATATGTCATCGCGGACCGTTCCTTTAACACCGAATACTTTGCATGGTTAGCATGACTGTGCTTGAAAGTGTGGAAGCAGAATCAACTAGAAAATATACGAAGCACCGGAATCTGCTCCTAGCCTAATGTGCTTATAAGTGTGCTAACGCTAGAAAGCATCGTGCCAAAATGTTCACAAAGTAACCAGGGATTCAGAATTCCCTAAATATTCTTTCAAGTGTCGCGAGTAGTCAAATATATAATATTTAAGAATTGTGGAGTCGATTCGTACACACATAGAAAGACTTTGAATGCCTGAGCCCACCTGTCGGAGCTGTTGGAGACGTCGCCGCTGCCCAAGACAGAATGAAGAATACCTCAATTATTCCGACATTAGAGGGGCTCGCTTGATTCAGCAAGAAGTATACAAGATTTGTACTCCTTGAATCTTCCTCTCAAGCTCATTTTGAAAAAAAAACAATGAAAAACACTGAAACCAGATCAAAATAACAGATTAATATGTATGCGCGAATGGAGTTAAATCAAAAATAGCTAGTGAAACTACAGAAAATAGAAGTATTTAATTTTTAGGTTGTTCTTAACTTTTTTAGTGTTGATTACGATTTCGCTGGTTTACAAAGGTTTACACGTGTCCACGTTGATGTGAACAAGGAAAGTGCCACCCCCTGTGAAGAAGAGCATCACCCTTCACTGAGCTGAGCCGTTCATTCTATAGCGCATAGGAAACATGACAAAATATATGGGACTCTGCAGGGCTTGCCTCTCTCGCCGAACTTTTCTGAAAGATTTCTTTAGAAATGCTGTTGTGCTGTTTGTGCGATTACACTCACCAAAACTGTCGTGAAATCGAGTGGGAACCGATGCATAGCAATGAAAATCGCTGTAACTTCGAATCGTTTATAACAGTAGATCAAGGTCAAGACGTCACCACTACTGGTAATTGGAACGAAGTTTTGAATGGATGTTGAGCAAATTCTTGTGTCGGCGCTGTTTTATATGTCATGAATAAAAAATCCGATTATTCTCAATTCACTAAGTCGGGTGGTCGCTGTGCATGACCAAGGATTCATGGTTATTTCTGTTGTTGTTATTGGAGTTACCAATGACAAGACCAGCTTTTTCCGTTTCTGTGGAGGAATTTCAAAGGCACGATTAGGAATAGAAGTTGAAAATATGGCGTCGGGGGGATGGGGGGGGGTGGCGTGGTCCACGACGAACAACCCTGTCTGGTTTCGCATCAACAAATTGTAAGGGAGGGGCGCTATAGCGCAATATGAGTTCAGTGACGCCTAATTTTTTTCCAGTGCCTCCGCCTCCGAACTCCCCCTTCACGGCCCGCCTTCCAAGTGAAAAAACGAAGCTGCCTGGCGGAAAAAGCAAGGAAATCGTCACTGTGGTCGTTAGAGTGTTATCGAGAGTTCAAGCCGCGCAGATGAGGGCGCATTGCTGGAGATGGAGTTCAGCGGGCACTTACAAACTGGGATCGAAATGGGGGTCTATCTAGGGCAGCTGACATGTTTTTTTTTGCTTTGTTCTTCACTATCGAAGTACTCAGCACCTTATCGTCTATATGCAAACCCCTAACTCGCTATCTGTGATGGCAACTGATTGCGACGGACCTTGCCTTAAGGGAGTTGGGTTAGATGTTCCCGTACTACCGCCTTCAGTTATGTTGCACTGTGCCCGACCAACCTTTGGAAACTTTTATACAGCTCGTACGCTGAGGAGCAAATTAAAGTAACTAAATCAATTCGCCGTTATCTTACAAATTCTGCATTTTGCCAGCTGCATGCGACTGCAAAGCATTTGTAAGAACAAATAAATTCAAAGCGAAAAGTGAGATTCTGACATGACCAGTTACAAAACACCAATGACTTGATGCCAATGGCAAGGTAAAAAAATTATGGTGGGCAACACGCTCTCATATGAAACTCCGAGGAGTGAAAAATGTCTGACTGCGCATGTATGTCACGCAGTCCATAATGTTCCTAGTTGTCAGTTCAGGTTCTCGCGAAAGCAGGCTCTCTACCCGGAGACAAGCAAAAAGTATAGAAAAACACGTTAGGGGATTGAGAGAGTAAGGGCAGGAGAAATTCTGCATATATTGAAATTAGCTAGCAGCATCATTCATATTATTGCACATTCTGGTGAAACATTAAATTCTCTAGATCATCCGCCAACAAAGCTGTTCCTGCAGTCGGATCTCATGATACACTTTCCATTGTCACGAACGTAACCATCGACACATCGACAGGCTGGCGTTAAGCAGATGGGAACACAGGGCTGAAAAGACTACGCTTTAGTTGTTTAGGAGGAATAGAGTAGATAGTGATCAATCCAGTGCTTATCGGAGCGTCAGGTGGAGGCGTCTCAACGTACATAGCTTTGGGCGCGGCGCCAACCTATTTCCATCAATGGCAGCCCGCCTTACATTGAAAACCACTGCTTGAAACAAGCTGGCACCGCGCCAAACGCATGTACTTACGCAGGAACGCTACACATGCGTATCGATAGCGACTACATCTCTGCCCATTAACTGCAGCAGTTTCTTTCTTCATTGGTTAACTGAGAGAGCTTACTTTCACCTTGGAGCGCAGCTACTGAACGCATAAATCAGTAAATAAACAAATAAATAAGCACTGAGGACGACGTAAATAGCAAGTACTTCTTCCAACCGATGAAATAATATCAGTCTGTGGCTATCAGTGGGTTGATTTCTCCGGATCTATCACCACGTGGGCTTACAATTACATGGAAGATTGAGGACTAGATATGTAAAAATAATAACTGAATAGATTTTCGTCAAAGCTGTGTTTCATAGTTTGCACTCGGGAGGAATCGGTTTTTGTTGCAAGGGAATCGACAGAAGAGTATATCGTAACTTGGGCGATATCCAGCCAGTTAGACTTTGCCCTCATTTGCTGGAAGGGGGGTTCATATTTGAAATGTGTTCAGTGTAATTGTATTTGACAGCGATATTTCGTAGGAGAAACTTTGAGTAAGGGCAGGGGGGTGGGGGTGTTGCGAAAGTTTCCGAAGAACTCTGAATTGCGCCCAGAAGCGACGTTTTGGCTGCTTGCCGGCGGAAAAGAAAAGTGTAGATTTCGATCTGGTCGGTAGCTAGAGATCTGGGGAGCCGGTGATCTGGAAGAATTGGCGTTTTAGGAGAGCTGGCGAGCCAAAGACGGATATATGTATCGATCGGCGCCGCATCCCTTGTTTTGAGAAGAGAGCGAGAGGGGGGCAGAAAGAGAGAGAGAGAGGAGAGCAGAGAGAGAGAGGAAAAGAAGAGAGCGCGAAAAGTTCCAGAACCGTGTTAGGCGCCATGAAATTACAAAGGGCATCGAAAAGATAAAATTGTCTGCTCGCCAGATTCGCTTCAAAATAAAAAGGAGGAACTCCGCCATTTTCAAGGGAAAGAGTGCGAGAAGGGCTGGATTCAACGCCATTTTTTCTAGCAACTCTTGCCTGGTTCAGAATGGCATCACACACTTGGAAAGGCTGCTCTGGCTGCGCTCCGATTCACCTTCAACACCCCCGAACCAGTGCGTCGCAAGGGGGGGGGGGGCTATACTCCTACTATTTATTCCGCCACTAATCAACCGGATTCAAAGCTTCAAGCCAGATGAAAAGGTCTAATGTTTTCATTTGTTGCACCAACAATTTGAGAATGATTGTTTCTCGTCTATGAGCGGGAACAGCTCAACATCTTTTGGAGAAGGCAGCACATACCACAGCGGGTCCACAGGTCGGTTCACAAGACGGGCATCGAATGAACTCTTCATTGGCTCCACATGCTGAAAATACATTAGTACACTGGAATCACCAACTCTATGTGTTACTCCCACGAATGTAATGAGCCAATATTCGTGCAGCTTGAACAAACGCACATCCACTTCACGAAGCTGCTGACAAGCTTGCCGATCCATTCTTTGTGCCATTGTCCCATGCACAAGAAGAATGGATTGGCATGCTGATGTCTAACTTAAACGCCTTGGGGCAATGGAGAGCAGATCGGTAATGAGGCCTAAAGAGTAGCTGATGGCTGAGTTGCAGTTTGAGACTTCGCCTGCATAATCTCCAAAGTCCTGTACAGGCATTGAAATTCACGGCGAAATATGTCCTGGGTGGTGGAACAAGAAGGCATGAGAAGGCGCTGATAAGAAATGCGTTTTTGTGATTTGTTAAGACACATAATTGCAGGGGGAGCCGGCTAGGCAGAGCTCCGAACGCGCAATGCGTGTCGGACAACCACCGTCCAGCCCCATTCCCCTGCACTCAACCGGGAAAACGTTTGCAACGAACAGCGCTACGCTCGCCCACATGGCTAATGGCCGTGAGGGCGTTTAGTTTGCCTTTGATTTGCGGACAACCTAAAACCGTGAGTCTCCTGTATTGGGCCATAGGAAAGCCCGTTGTGGGGCTATTATGCAATGGCAAATAATCTGATTGTTTTCTGAACTCTATAGAGTCTAGGTCGTGATACAATAATACTTTAACTCACTGGTATTGAAACAGCCAAACGTGTCGTTATACTCGATACATTCACCAGTGGCACAGAGTGCGGCAGCACACGGACCTGAAAAACCTTCCGTCTACTGCTGGTTGCCACGAAAATTTATTTTATAGTAATTGATGAGGGTATGTAATTATTCTAGTCCTTTCAGTGAATGGAGCTAATCAATCAACCACGCAAGAAGGAGGTTCTCGTCAACCAACCTGAGCGTGATTCGATACCGGACGCGACCCCCCATGAACCTATCTATTGAGGAAACATTTTTGGATATCCCCTGAATTTTTTACACATTGAGGTTTTCCGTCAATATCTTCACAATGGGTTCCGTCGGCGCAAAGCATCAAAGTCGTGGCACAGTTGACCGGTCGTGACTTTTGTTGAGAAGGGAGCCTGCTCCCTGCTGGAAACCTTTTTGAAAGCAGCAGGAGCGCTCAGTCTGTCGAAAGCGTCCCTGGGACCACCTTGCTCTCCCCACTGATCTATCCTCTCTTGTCAAAAGGCAAGGCACCAGCGAGGATTGCGGATGGTCTGAGGGACTCCACTTTCCTTTCTCCTTTGCGTTCTTATTCCGCTTATTATTTAACAATGTATTAACATTTAGAAACACAACCCATATTGATTGCATGGGCATGGGGACCCCTCTATTGTGCCTTGGTTATTAGTGCGTCCCTCCTCTAATGGTAAGAGATGGGCTCGCCACTAACAATAAGGAAGGCACAATGGTTTACTGTCTCGACCCGCACAATGGTTTACTGTCTGCGCCCATGTCTTCACTTATACGCTCAGCACGGAATTTCATTAACGTGCTATTGAACTATTCTCACCTGTGTCCGACACGCATTGTGGCGTCCCGTTGACAACTTCACAGTGGAAACCAAAGCCGCACGAAATTGCGGCCGGTCCTTCGCATCTCGCTGAAGGCGGAGTCACAGGCTCATCCACTAAATTGCTCATGGCGTGTGAGGTAGGCAATTAAGACGAGATTTGATATTAAGAGAATAATAGTTATTTCCGGATACCGTAGTTTTGGGTGGTCGTCGGTATCGGCCGCCTGTTCGAGCAGGAGTTGGGATCAATGCACCGTCCACCTTCACGTACAAATCCATTCTTACACTGGCACTTTGGTGGTAAGCACACGCGATTGAGAGTTGAAGTTTTGTTTATGTGAGGAACATTTCCGAGTAGGCTATCAGTCGTCCCACTGAAACCTTTTACTGAACCCATGGTTCTAGCCCCGTCTAGTCGGATGGGCGAACATAGATGAAGTCAGTGAAAACTCAAAACCCCTTTAGCTGCTTTCTGATACGGTCAAAGTTGGAGGCAGGCATAGCCCACTCTAACTGTATGGACAAAATCGGGGGTGCTGTCGCCGTTTCCTCATTGGAAAGCCTCTTTCCTTTCCCATCTCACGAAGTGAGGTGCATCAAACGGGGTGGCAATCCTGGCTTTGAGTCAGCTCACAAGGTGAACGTGGGCTAGACGTTTGACTGATTATGCATGAAAAATTATCGCTCACCCGTCCCATAGGAACACAGGTCCGCTCACAGTCCGATGCGCATATATTGAACTCCTCATTGATAGGACAAACTGCAAATAAACATAGGTACATAACTGTAAGTGAAAATTACACCGCTTATTAAATCACTTATTAACTACGGATTTGCTAGCATCTTTTCTGTAAATGTCCACTAGCTCGAAGTCATTGACGCAAGTCTTGTGCTAATGGGGAAAAAATTTACAAAATACGCCCCCTCATTTTCTCTTCTAGTACAAGCCCCCTCACCATTCCCACCCTACGCACCATCTTCTCCCAACACTTTTCCAATTTCTCACAGCTTTTTTTCCTGAAAACGAAAAGGGTGGGAGTAGATGGGACACACGAAACTGGGAAAACTGAGAAAAGCCAACAACCCAAGTCTTCTCTCTCGGAAAGAAACAAGACCCCCTCTCTCTCTGAGCCCCAACCTACGATGTGCCCTGCGTGATATACCTTTGCTGGATCTATAACGTTAGATAGCCTACCTGGATCGGGAGCACATGTAATACCAGTTGGTGTATCTTCACAATGATGTCCAGCAATGCATCTTACTCGGACTTGAGCGCATCGTGGGATTGGCACTGCAAGTTGCCGTCACTGATAACCGTAACTGAGAGAGACTTATTACTTATTTATTTATTTAGGATGAGATTTATTATTCATTATTGAGGAGCAATCCGAGGCGGAGTTTGTGTAGTGGCAAGTGGCACGCTTGCCACGCTCTCGATCCCGTAGTCGATTCCCCGAACCGGCTCCCGCCCAGTCCAAGTTAGTCCTCTACCCTCCTGGGACGGTGAATCGATAGCAGAGTCGTCTAGGAAGACAGGGGCACTGATTCGTTTATTGGTTGGCTCCCCCAAGTCATTGAACATGATAGTCGCAGTCAAAATGTCACTACGACTGGGAATGGAAAAAAAACGCTTGAGACATCCCACAAAAGACCAGGTCATCTTTCTTTATTTTGATAAATTATTTTCACCTGCATCCGGCACGCATTGCGGCCTTCCATTGACAATCTCACAGTGGTTACCAGTGACGCACAAAATTCGAATCGGTGCTTGGTCGCAACTTGTTAAAGGCGGAGTCACAGGCTCGTCCACTGAAGTGTTATTACGTACAAGGTAGAGAATCGAAAAAGGATGCGAAATTCTGAAAAAGAAGCAGAATGCATCCAAAATTGGGATTGATCAGTGGCGAAAGCTCCATCCTTATACTTTGGAGGCAGTGTGCGCGATGGCTGAGGGCGGGCGGTTACTGCCAACGTCATCGGTGGAATGGCTGAGTGAGGTGTGGCCGAACGCCCTCTTCTGCGGATAGCATGAGGCCAGTCCTTCCAAAGGCAAACTGTCACTTACCTTCGAGAAAAAGTGGCACAACAGTGGCTGCGGAAACATTCTCCCTACACGCGGTAAGGACCAGGATCCACGGAGGTGAGTGTACGGTTTGTCCTTTTCGCTAATCTCGCGCTAAGCGCTAATTTCCTGCCTTTCACCTTGGTCTCTCGCATACATGACGTTCTATTACCTCTATGATCTCACACTGTTCTCGCATTATACAAGGCTCATCCTACCTGGAGAACCCTTCCCTGGGAAGCGCCCATCTCTTGGCTTGCCACACGCTTCGATGCTCTGATTAAGGGAGCCATCGTACTCTATCTATAAGCGCCCTGGATATTCGCAAGAGGACCATGCGGAGAGGTTCAAAGAGATGTATGACTTGACACACCGCTCAGAAACGTTTAGAACCTGGTGCGGATGCCGCGCACGCGACGCCATTAACAACGCCTTGTTCACAACACCCTTCTAGCATCGTGGAACCAGCAGCCCCATATTCAAAACACTCATAATTATAGTAGGCTACTATTCTCGACAGCAATCAAACCGAATACTTTGCATGGTTACCATGACCTATGCTTGTGAAGTATGGTGGCAGAATTGACCGGAGAATATAAATGCAAAGTCGGCTCGGTGGGGGTTTTGAAAATGCCCCTCCCAAGCCGAAAAGCGCGAAAAATTTGAATACCTGCACGTGCTAGTATCCGTATGTGCTTATAAATATACTAATTGCTAAAAGGCTCCTAAAAATAATCACTGTATTATCGAAATCGGTAATGGTTTCTCCAATAGTGTTGATTGCCTCGAAAACTAATCTATGTTCAAAACAGTGGAATTGTTTTGAAACACATATAGAAAGTCTTTAAATGCTAGCACTCACCTGTCGGAGCTGTCGGAGACTTCGCCGCTGCCCAAGACAGAATGGAGATTACCTTGAATATTTCGGCATTGTTGTTAAAGATGACTGAGTGAGGACATATATGGTAGATTTCTGACGTTTCTCTCTTGATAGATTAATTCAAACAAAATAAATGACAACAAAATGAGAAACGCAAACTGACCCAGATTAGCAATCTAATGTGTATGTGTCGAAATAGCAACCTAATGTGTATGTGCGAATAGAAACAAAACAAAAATAACAAGCAGAAATCGAATAAAAATTAAAATCGTGAGTCTGTTCGACTATTCTCTTTTCTGTTGTGTTTCCGTTACTTTGAGCGAAGAAGATGAACGCTCAAGCCGAACAGCACCATTCCGCATTGCTCCCTCCACCAGCGCATAGTGCATAGAAAAAGTGACTAACTAACTGGTAATCAGCGGAAGCATTGATTCTTTCTCCGAGCCACTTCAAAGCTTTCTTCTTCAAAGAATGTTTTTAGTGCGATTACACTCACCAAAACTGTCGTGAAATCGAGTGGGAACCGATGCATAGCAATGAAAATCGCTGTAACTTCGAATCGTTTATAACACTAGATCAAGGTCAAGACGTCACCACTACTGGTAATTGGAACGAAGTTTTAACGGATGTTGAACAAAACCTTTTGTTCGCGCTGCTTTGTTTATCATGAAAAAAATCCGATTATTTTCAATTCACTGAGTCGGGTGATCTCCGTACTTGGCCAAAAATTCATGGTTATTTTTGTTATTGTTATTCGAACTCTCATTGGCAAGAGCAACTTTTATTTCGTTTCTGGGCAGGAATTTTAAGGCAGTTGGGTGGACTACATTTCCGTACCCGACGTCTTCAGTGAATATGACACGTGCACCAACTTTGAAACTTTATTAACTCGAAAACAGAGGTACAAAAGAGTACAGAAATCGATCGCGACGAATATCCACGAATATTTCAATCATATTCCTGCACAACATTTGCAAACCAGTCAACTAACCGTTTCAGTAATCGCGAATCTGATGGACTATGGGAAGTAAATTGTAAACAATCAAATTCAAAGCGAAAAGTGAAATTTCGACATGACCAGTTACAAAACACCGATTACTTTGTGGTAATTAAGGGGAAAAATTATCATGGGTCATGCGAAGTACGAACGCGCCTCATACGAAACGCTGAGAACATTAAAATTTCTGACTGCGCATGTATGTCACGCACTCTGTCATGTCCTAGTTGCCAGTTCTGGTTTCTGCGAAAGCAGGCCATCTGTCTGGAGACAAGCAGAAAGCAAGAAAGAGGTAGGGATTTGAGCATAGGTGTGGGCAGGACAATTTCCTGATATTATTCAAAATTATTGAATAGCTACTGTTAAATGGGTCTTTAGAATTATCCGCCAACGTTAGGTGTTTCCTGGCATTCCGATCTCTCGATACATTTCCGTTGTCACGAACGTAGCCATTGACACACCGACAGGCTGGCGTTAAGCAAAGCGGGACGCAAGGCTAAAAAGGCTATGCTTCAGTTGGTTAGGAGGAATTCGTGTGATAATCTCCAAGTTCTCCCTTCTTGTAACCTCGGCATGATGTCGAATGTTTAGTTATTTCTGCCAAACGAGGTTTTTAGATAGAACCGTTTTATTGGCCCGACGTTTCGACCTTCTCGTCTTCTTCAGAGGCCTGAAAATGGCTCGAAGCTTTCAATTTGTCACCTACCCGATCAAGCGCCTCCCCCACTCTAGCGTTTCGACTCCGTGTTGTGAAAACCCATCGAAGAAGCGCCAGCAATAACGTCTAAAGTGAGACTCATTCGCTCTTACTTACATTACTGACACATAGCGTGAGCTAGGCTCCGCACGGTGGAACCTCGGTGAGTTGAGCGCGGTTATTGCTGGGTTCTTCGGGGGTTTCGGAACACGACGTCGGAAACGCTAGAGTGGGGAGGCGCTTGATCGGGTAGGTGACAAATTGAAAGCTTCGAGCCATTTTCAGGCCTCTGAAGAAGACGAGAAGGTCGAAACGTCGGGCCAATAAAACGGTTCTATCTAAAAACCTCGTTTGGCAGAAATAACTAAACATTCCGACAGTGTGGATAATGATTAAAACAACGGTGCACACATAGTGTTTTTTTTGTTTTTTTTTTTCGGGTTGGGCGTCTCATACATACGTCTGCGCAGCTGCGCCAGCTCACTCACATCAACGGGAGGCCCCCCCCCCCCTCCCCACCCGTGGTGGGACAAGCTGGAATTGCGCCATCAACGTACAAGTACCGACTGGCATTTCTTTCTCATTACTATAACAGTTTAGTATACTACATGGGCGCTGTGGTGCGTAAAGGGCACATCGTACAATGGGGATCTCCCGCGAGTAGGTCGTATTTGATCGTTGGAGGGAAGAGCTCGTATTTGACTAGAATGTTTTCCGGTTTTCGTCTCTCTCGGTTTTTTCGCAATTTCCCATAGGCAACGATTGGAGCTGGTCGCTAGAGTCTTGGGGAGTAGTCTCGAGAGATTTGGTCATTCGGGAGAATCCTTGCATAGGGAGGATGCGTGCCAGATGTGAGCTCGGTATCGATCGGTGCGGGTCGTTAGTGGTTTGAGAGAGAGCAGGGAAATATGGAGGTCCCGGCTGTTCTGATTAGATTCGGCGTCCGGAACAGTAACGTTGGTAGTGGGCGAAAGCAGCGACTTCAGGATGCTACGATGCCTTATCACACCATCTGAAACCCTCCTTTTCTTTCATTTCTTTGCTCTCTCGAAACAAGCGAACTACCACCGATCAATACCTACTCGCTCCTTTTCGCGCATGCTCCCGAGTTGCAAAGTCTGAACGCTGCCTAATACCAATTACTCAAGGTATACATGGGGTTGAAAAAAGACGCTTTTCTTCCTCTGCTCAGAGCCATAAGTATACTTCTTTGAATTCTGACTGGACATTCTCGCCACCAAATTCAACAGCGATGAAGACGAAGCACATTGCACACGATCACGATACTCCGCCACAGCCTTCTGGACGAACGCCATCGAGAGATTCTGCCACGCGACCGTGATTCGGTGCCTGAGTTCAGCGAGGTCGTTGATTTCTCCGCCACTGTAGACCACCCTGTTGAGCTCCTCCCGAACCCGGTAATCGAGGGGGTTTAGGTCAGGTGACACACTTGGATTTCCGTCTTCTTCAGGTACTCAACGCCCTTCCATTCCAAGGGCGAGAGTTTTTCCAACGCCCTTTGATTCCATGTGGTGTCACCCAATCCTGTAGCAGTACAAAGTTTCCAAGAAGGTACGGGCGACGACATGTGGGGAGGATATTCTTCTCGAGCTGCTCGATGTAACCGTCCAGCGCTCACTTTCAGTCCGGTCCACGAAGAAAATATCGGTCTCCCCTTCCGGTACTTCCGGTCCATACCATCAACCCGCGCCTTGGCGACTGCGTGATGATGTCCTAGACCGTAGCGACGTTGTCGGAGCTGCTCGATGTTGGAGGTCTTCCAGATCAAGAGTGCCGGTCTCCAGGTCCATGGGTGACTCCATACAAGAAGTTTCGCAGCTGTTTGGAGGTGACGTGAATTCCATAGGCCTTCTCCAGTCAGGCTGCGACTGGAGATGACTTCATATTTTGGTGTACATGAAGGTGATGGGCGAGAGCCTGCTCCTGCTTATCGAGAAACATCTGCCCTGGTACTGGTACTCGTATCCAGATCCTCTGTCTGGCCTGCATAAGGTTTACTGATGACTTGGACAAAGTATCTTTTTTTACCCCCTTCCCCCCCCCTTCTCTGAATAACTGGTTAAGTTTGCCTAACGGTGTA